TTCTTTGTAAATCTTGTTGACTGAGGAATCTGATTTCTTGGGCCCCTGAAAAAGAGACTCTTGAAACTACTATTTGATGCCTTCTTCAAGTTTACTGAAATATTGAGATGTTCTAAGATGTTATGTATATATATCAATTTGTTGTTTGTTCTCTCTGTTTGACATGGTTGATTTTGTGATTTTAATTGTTATAGACTACACCTGTTCATGCTGACCATGTGATTGTTTGCCAACCTGCAAATTGAAGAGTCTGCCATATGACTGGCTGGACCTATCATGTTACGACTCCTTTGTCTATTCTGATCAATGCTACCTTATAAATGGAAGAGCCCAATGGTGGCCATTTTATACTTGCCCAGATGAAGGCCTAAAGGCTGAAACGCATAGGCATGTTTTTATTGTTATAATGAATCCATGAGAAAATAAAGGCTTTTTAAATCACCACCCTCCTTGCACTTTGTTTTTTGACTTAAAATCTTAGTAATGTTTTATGAAAACATGGAGGGTGATGGGTTAAGGTGTGTGGAGGGAAAAGTCACACATGAAATACCTGCTAGAGCAACTCTTATAGAGAGATAACAATTTTATTTCTGTTTGTATTTTCTGTTTTATTGAGAACCATAGACTTGAGAATACAAAAGAAGGCCCACCATGTTGTCAGGAGATGAAAAGACAAGAAAACTAGAGAATGACATAGATGGCCTATAAGAACATCACTTCTTTTACAGTAACAAACTCTGATCTGAACTGTTTTACAGCTTTCTGCTGGAAATGAAAACTATAGTGTTGATGCCCATATGAAAAAAAAGTACAAAAGTACATTTACTTGAGTCCTGTAGTCCTTGAGTCCTTGACTCATTTTAGTCAGTTAAATGAATTTTATTCTGTTTTGGAAAATGTGATAGACCATACACTGTGTTCACCACAGGAGAAAAACCAATCACAGCCAACTCCTCCACTGTCAGTCATGTGTGAACCTGTCAGTGTCCTAACCATGGAGATGTTAGATAAAGATGAGGCAGAAGATTCTTCAGCAGAGACCAAGGTCTGAGTTTGAAGGTTTAAAAAAAAGATTCATTTAGTTTGAAATGTTTGCTGTGTTTATCATGACCAGACTCCATCACTGACTAAATAAAAATACGAAAACAAAGGCTCCTTTTGTTGATCAGTTGTTTTTATGTCCATGTCTAAAGTCTTTGTATCATATTCTACAAGCTTTCATTCTCCAGATTCTACAGTCAGTCAGTCAGTCAGTCAGTCAGTCAGTCAGTCAGCAGGTTGTTTCAGAGTCATTAGGTTCAGTAAATGTGGAACAATACAACAATATGTTGACATGAAAAAAAAAAGTACTTTTGAACACTCAAGTATTTTAACATCAAGTACTACTTTAACTCAAGTAAAAACCTAACTGAAGAACTGTTACTTGTATTGGATTAATATTTGACCAGGAGGATCTGTACCCTGACTCAAGTGGAGCTGTGTAGGCTACTTTGTCCACCTCTGTAAAGGAGGATCTGAAGTTCTTAGAATAAAAACGTTGAACACATCATGTGTGTCAGTGAAGCCTTCAGCCAATCAGGATATCAGGAAGTGCTGTCGTCACAGAGGTGGTTCCCAGTTGGTGAAGCCAGTGGAGAGTGAAGATCATGCATCGGAGGTTCCAAGATAGATAGATACATAGATACTTTATTTATCCCCCTCGGGGAAATTCATGTGTCCATTATCTCATTGTTGATAATAATAAAAACTGTTAATAATAAATAAACAATAATAATTAGATTAGTCCACTTCCTTTGGCTGAGGTGTTGTATAGCCTGGTGGCAGTGGGAACAAAGGATCTCCTGAACCTCTCTGTTCTGCAGCGCAGTGAGATGAGACGTTTGCTGCAGCTGTAGCTGCTTCTCTGACCTGCTAGAATGTTGTGGAGAGGATGGTTGGTATTGTCCAAGATGGCCTCCATCTTACATTGCATGGGTCTCTCCACAACAGTCTTGAGTGAGTCCTACTCATGCCAAGCACAGACTCAGCCTTTTTGACCAGCTTGTTCAGTCTCTTTGTGTTCATGTCTTACATGCTGCTGCCCCAGCAGACTGCTGCATAAAAATTATGAAAAAAAAAGATGTGAACAGTCTTGATCTCGAGTGCAGCTTTCAAATTGGACATTCACACATGGAGGCTGCTTTTGTATGGCCCACAATATACTTTTTCGGATATAATTTTGACTCGTCTTTGTTACTCAACTGTTTTCCTTAACTTTTTAGGTAATTTTAGCAAGTTATGTCGAGCTCCAGTGGAAAGAGAAAAAACACTGCGAGGATTGAAATGGAGGTTGTCGCCGGTGCTTCTAATGCACTTACTGACAACTACCACAACTATTCCACCCGTGACGACACCACAAGATTTTCTGTGATGAATGAGGAAGATTTTCCTTCTCTGCCCGTTACTCCAGAGAAACATCCTGTCAAGAAAGGTAAAAGTGAAATAACCAATGCTGATATTGTCACTACTCTGTCAGAGTTAATCAACGCCAGATCAGATGAGCTGAAAACTTTGGTCCAGAATAACACCGTCCAAATCACGAGTCTGAAGGGAGAAATTGAGACTGTCTGCAGACAAATGACTGAAGTGAAAAGATGTTCGCAAAGAAGTGATCTGTATCTGCCAGGTGCTGCTGCCGTCGGTTGCTGGACGTCTCCCGGGTGTTATCAGTACTGTGCACCGTGTCAGAATGAAGAAACCGAATGGCACTAGAGGCATCATCCTGCAGTTCTCCTCTTGCGTGCACAGAGCAGCAGTGTGGACTGCAGCAAAGAATTCCTCCTACTGTAGCATGAACACCACAATTTAGAGTTTATTCTTGTTAAAATGGGGCACCAGTCCTCTGGGAGGACAACAATGAATTACTTTATTGATAAATTAATCGATCTCATATCAGAAGCCATGACTTCTCGATTCAATGGATCTTCAGTCTCTACGTCAAAAGAACACCACAGGACAACAGCTGTGTGTAAATAAAGAAATTTATTAAACTGGCGTTGACCAGATGACTCAAAACTGTCAAAAATCTTCAAGAAGGAAAACATGATAATAATCAAAAGTAACAAAATTATTCACTTCTCATTAATTACTTATTAAGCACTTCTGTTGTTTTGGTTCAGTTGGTCTTGACTTGGCTCATAAAATTAAAGGATCGCGTGTGTAGACAAAAAGAATGTTACTTGGAGCATACAGCAAAGAAAGAATAAAAGACGCAGACAAAAGCCTGTGGCTAAGAGCCATGAGTTTTTGTGGCTAGCAACTTAAAGCTAAGAGCCGATGATTCACAGCTGGGCTTAGAGCTTGGAGCTACATAGCTACAGAGCAATGTGTGAATTGATCAAGACTGTTCCCCTGGGGGCAGATGCACGTTTCAGGGGCGTCACCCGTCTCCTCCTGTGTTTCCACTTGAAGAAGAGAGTAATTTTTCACGGTACTTTTTAATAGTTTAGTTCTAGAGTTTACCTATAAACTCGCACATCTGTTTTCCACCATGACGACAAAACATTAAATGAAACTAGAAAATTCCAGGGAAATTTTGAGTGCCACGGGGACTACTGCCGGGATAGGGTTAGGGTTAGGGTAAAAAATCTTCTCTGTGTCACTGTAGCGATGACATCACGCAGCCCTTGGCTGTCAGAGGTCAGGTCAGGAGCTGCCGTTGCCATGGCAATGTGAAAATCTGCCCAGAATTTGACTTCTACATGGCTTCAAACAATTGCAAATTATGAGAAAACCGTTACTTCTTTTCAAAAACCGAAAACACCGTGAGAGACACTGAAGCCAGAAGTTTCTTACAGTCTCTATTTTATTCAGATATTCCTTAAAATAAGTGAGTAAGCTCAGTGCGAAGACAGAGTGAGATTCTTTTGAAAAAAAAAGACGATTACATTAGGTGTCAATGAGAGTGAGACAGGTATTGCTGCCGGACTCGGCACCCCCGTTTAAATTTTGTGCAGACCCTGCCTGTCAAAGTTACATTTTATGAATCCCAACAACTATGTCTACATTTTCAGAAAGAATTATTTATCTCCTTTTTACGGTTTGGCCGTGAGCTCGAGTTAAAAATAAAAATAAAGGTTATTTTTTACTGTTTCACGCACTCTAGCCAACTGACGCTGTCACTCTAACTTTGAAGAAAAAGTGATTTCCACTCCTCCTTTGAGTGCTCATAGTTTGAAAAGTTTACATGTTATGTAAAAACAGTTGTTGTGTTTTGGAGAGAGCAGAAGTTTTCCTCCGTTTTATAGTTTGAATCACATTTCTACGTGCAGGTATGAGGGAGCTGGGTGACTCAGAAAAAAGGTGAAATTTTGTAGAAAAAAGGTGAAATTTTGTAGAAAAAAGGTGAAATTTTGTGGGTTTTTAAAAGAAAATTAATAATAATAATAAGCCCGAAGGAGAATATGGTGTGCTCTGCCCCGAGGCACTCCTCTCAGCTATTCTAGCTGTAGAGGAGTGCCTCGGAGCTGAGCACCCGTGGCACTAATAACATATAAACCTAATGGCACTAATAATGACAGACAGGAGTAATACGAGTGTGGATTTCATATTACATCCTTCAAACCTGGAATTAATCATGATACAAGTGGTTAAATGATCCAAAAACAATATAGAAATTTCCTAAAGCTAATAGTCTACATGTTACATTTCAAACATTCTATAGGATAGAAGTTTGGGATTGAACTCTTACTTAGAAACATCTCAACAACAGTTAGATATTTGATTTTATATTCTTCCTCAGATCTGTGTCTGTGAAGAGTGTTCTGCTGGTCACTACCCAGGATTGGAATGTGGCTTAATGATAATCAGTTCTTATGGTATTACTTTTCCTATAAAAGAAACAATCAAATATCATTAGACAGAGACTTATTGTTCCAAACTGGAGATTTTGTCTATATTCTCCAGTTGCCTGGTGTCCATTCATTGATCCTCTGGAGCTGACCCTTTGACCCATGGTCTGGTTGTGTATCTCTCTGACATGCTAAAAGGATGGTCTGTTTGTGGGAGAAGGGTCCTTTGTTTCTGTTTCCTATCAATTTTAAAGATTGATGGTGGGAAGAATAAGAAAGTGTCAATTTTGGGTCCAGAACCCTGCATGCCCTTACAATTAACTTCTTTAATGGCTTGTGACTGATGCCAGGACAGGTACATCCGCTACAGTATATATACATTTCTTGTCATTTTTTTGTCTTGAAATGTAGATAACTTACTGGATTGTCTCCCAACACATTAATGCACACATTAAAGTGTATTAAAGTGTTAAAATACATCCCTTTTTAGAATTGTAAAATAGTTATGGGAAATTCTACTGAATACATTTTGATTAAAAAAAGGAAAAAGGAAAAAGGATGTTGAAAAAGGAAGGGTTCTTAGCCATACTGATCATTTACTGCTGATTTCTCTTTTACTCTCTCTGTAATAACAGAGGGCTATATGTCTGTAAATGGTGGAATGTCCTCAACTATCCAATGAATATAGAATTGCAAAATATAAAAAAAAATAAAAATAAAAAGAACAATTAACAATCGAAAAAAAAAACTGATTATAGACATGATGAATCCAGAACTTTCTGTAGCTTCGCTTGTATCTTTCTTTGCTTGAATTTCTGATCGAACCCTTCTTTCCACTTCCTTTTTTAGTTCTTCAATAACTTGCTTCAGCATCATATCCGTTTCTGCTGTGATCTTCCCTTCTCCTGAATAGCTCGGCAGCACAATTTTCACCTCTGGAGTCGCCCCCCTCTCTGAAAAATAAAATGATTTCCCTGATTAGCAAATATTTAAGTATGTTTATCAGTAATACATTAGAGAAATGATCAGAAAAATGCAGTACCTCGGGTAAAAAGACTGCCGACGAAACAGAGAACTGCTGCTATTGCAACGAGGGAAACTGCAACGACAACTGGCGAAGCCTCACATTTCATTAGATCTGCCACAATGCTTTCTATTTTAGAAAGCAGAGTCTGAGAGGACACATGAAGATGAATGTCATGATCAACACAAACTGACAAGTATAATTTGTGATTGATGCAAAGTATATGAAGTGGCCAACAGTGTATATTAAGTCTAACTAATCCATCATTTGAAATATCAAAAGGAAAAGAAACAGCACTTTTTACCTTCTTTTACCATCAAATCCACAGAAATATAATCTGTTTTACTTCATGATTTGCATTTCTCAACAATCCTATTACATTTTTAGAACATGGCAGACAATGTATGTTATATTGAAGTCGTTAGATAAAAGAAAAGCTGAGATCTGAGATAATGCTTCTTACTGCTACACTTGGCTGCAGAGGAAACTCTTACCGTGTCTTTGCCTTTCGATCTAATCAGAAAAAAATGACACAGAAAAAATTGGAATTTAGTCACAAAATACAATTTCAAAGTTTTATAATGGAAGGTGTTGAAGGTGTTTGGAAACCACCTTCTACCTACAGAAATCTTTATCCACTTTGACATACGTGATATCTTTAGTGTAAATGATGGTAATGACCTTATTTTAACAAACCTACAGTATCTTATAGCCCAGACACAGTTGGTCCCATTGAATTACATACAATACAATATTGCCTATAGATTGCCTTTGACACTACAAATCACAAAGTTCTCATTGAACATCCATGATGTAGGAGTTCGGCTCAGCTGTTCAACTGTTTGCATCCTGTCTCCCTTAAATAACATCCTCTCTAATGGATCTCTCAGGATGACATATGGGACTGTCAGGTGATACAGTCTTAAGTTAAAAATCTATGAAAATGATACTTAAAGTCAGGAAGTTGGTTTCACTTTTATTTTATTTTTTAACCAGTGACCTTGAAAGAGTTTTCCATGTCTTTGTCTCTTGTCTGTGGCAGTTCTCTGATTTTCTAGTAGCACAGCGCTTCAACAGTTTATCTAAGCAGCAGCAGATACTGACTAACACAAGGAACCGTCACCTGATTACTGCTGTTGTGGTCACATGCTTTCTCTTAAATTCAGATTCTTTGGATAACTTCAAAAAACTCAAATGTCTGTCACTTAGTTTAATGTATATTTACTGGTAAATGAATTTGACTTTTAACACTAAACTCAGATTAGGACAATTAAATGAAAGAAAATAATAGCTGTCATAATATAATGATCTGAAATGTAACCAACTAACTACAAAACTACAATTGTTCTGCCTTTGAACAAACAAATGAACATGTCACATTTCTAGAATAAATAAACATACAGTATGATAACATACAAATAATGAATCCTCCTTAGCTGTCAACTTACCTTACACGTCTGGGTTTGTCTTGAAAAAATGGAGGTGTATCCCGGGACTTGTCACTCTCTGTTATGGTCTGAGTGGAGCTACATGTAGAGCGAATATCACTTAAAAAAAACACAAAGAAAATACTGAGTATATGGAGTTGAATGATTTGAATAATCAACCTTTGATGTGTCATCACTTATTGCTACAGTACAATAGAATAGCTTTGACAATGTAAAATAAACTATGTTCCAACTGTTTTCTTGAAAGAGAATTCAGTGGTTGAACCTGAAGGATCATTTTACTTCTACTATCTTATTACCTCAGGCCGGAGTCAGAGCTATAGTCACTCTGGTAGTAATAGTCCGGCAGAGTGCGAACAGGAACCGAGGCAGGAGCATACATGTGAGTAGATTTCTCCCTGCAGAGCATATGGCATCATATCACTTGAAACAGAAACTGCAGTCTACAGTATGAAATCCAGGAACAAGAAAAGTATAACGCTGAGGACAGTCAGAACATTTTACAGCCTGACCTTGGATGGGGAAAGTTGAACAAACAAATGAACATCTCACATTTCTAGAATAAATAAACATACAGTATGACGAGTTGAATCATTTGAATTATCAACCTTTGATGTGTCATCACAATTTCTCTCATTTTTAATGTGAAAATGCCTCATAGACATAATGTTCATTCTATCCTCCTCATACTAGCAGCTTTACAAAGAGACATACTAAACACCAGCGATTCCTGTCTCAGTGCCATTTCTGTGGAAACCTTTCTTTTCCGTATTGTGCCCCTTTGGTGAGAAAAACCTGCTTTTAACAGCAAAATCACGAGCCATCATGGCCACGTCACACTTAAATCAAAGAGCTTGTAAATATCTTTCTTCTTCAATCAGGTTAAATTTCAGTTGCACTTACGTCTGCAGCCATAGAGACTGGAAGGTACATGTTTGTATCTCTGGCAAAGAGCACTCATAATGAAGTCTTTATTCGATTTTCTAATTCCCACTGTCTCTTAACATTATGAGATATTTAGTTTTGCTTAGCACAGTACATTTATATCCCTTAGCACAGATACTCTACAGTTATAAATCAATATATTGCCACTTTCACAAAGTTATTGCTACAGTACAATAGAAGGATCATTTTACTTCTACTATCTTATTACCTCAGGCCGGAGTCAGAGCCATAGTCACTCTGGTAGCCATGGTCCGACAGAGTGCCAACAGGAGCCGCGGCAGGAGCATACATGTGAGTAGATTTCTCCCTGCAGAGCATATGGCATCATATCACTTGAAACAGAAACTGCAGTCTACAGTATGAAATCCAGGAACAAGAAAGGTATAACGCTGAGGACAGTCAGAACATTTTACAGCCTGACCTTGGACGGGTAAAGCTCGTCCTGTTTGTTGGCAATGGTTGCATCTTGTTTTTTCACTGTTCACAACTATGAAAAGAGATAAAAAGACAGACATGTGGCATTGCAGACAAATTAGCCTACATGTTACATTCAGGGGTGGACAGTGATGAAGTACATTTACTTGAGTTCATGTACTTAATCATATTTCTTGAGAATATGTATTTCACTTGAATATACATTTTTTTGGAAACTTATGATTTTTGTTCCACTACACTGAAAGACAATTATTGTACTTTTGACTCCACTACATTTCAAGTACAAGTACAAGTACAAGTACAAGTACAAGTACAAGTACTGTTTACTTGAAAGCAGAGCTACGTCAGATAAAGATGAGCCAGAGGATTCACCCGAGCACTGTGAGAAATATGAAAAGTTATGTTACATTGCTAAGAGAGTGTTGTGTTTATATTAAGATGATTACTGTTGCTATGCGTTAGGGGGCGCTAGGGTGAAACTCAAGGCAGTCACGCACACATAGGGAGACACCAGAAGAACAGGATGTCATGTGACCGCCTCAGTTGCTTAAAGTAAACAACAACTTCTAGCATGGCGAAGTGGCGGTTACATGAAAAGGGAGAGTAGGTTTTGTAATAATGTATAAATGTTGTAAACACACACGGAGAACTGTATTGCAGAACGGCTGTCTTTTATTTACCGCTTCTTCCTCTACAGCTTCCAACGGGTTGATCACAACCAACAC